TCGTCATCACCATCATCATCATCATCATCATCATCATCATCATCATCATCATCATCATCGGCAGCATCACCATCATAATCAGCATCATCAGCATCATCACCATCACCACCACCGTCCTAATCAACAACAACAACAACAACAACAACATCATCATCATCGTCATCACCATCATCATCATCAGCAGCAGCATCATCATCTTCGTCGCAGTACTCCTCCTCCTCCTCGCAATCCTCGTCCTCCTCCTCCTCCTCCTCCTCGTCCTTCTCCTCCTCCTCCTCCTCTTCCTCCTCTCCTCTCTCCTGCTCCTCCTCCTCCTCCTCCTCCTCCTCTTCCTCCTCCTCCTCCTCCTCGTCCTCGTCCTCCTCCTGGTCCTCCTCCAGCTTTGTGTTTTATGTCTACTCCTCCTGCTCCTCCCCCTCCTCCTCCTCCTCCTCCTCCTCCTCCTCCTCCTCCTCCTCCTCATCATCATCATCCACTTCTTCCTCCTCCTCCCGTAGCCATATTGTCTCAAGGTGATTTTGCCCCTCGAGCAGAGAGCGGACACCTCTGATCCGAAGCTAGACCCTGCTGCTTAAGCTCGCCTCTCATAGCGTGGGTGCACCATTCACCCGTGGGGGAGGCCGTCGGGCGCGCCGTAGCGAAAGCATGCGCCGTGGGTGGTACCATACGAGTGGCCAGTCCAAGTCCCAGTGGAAGGCGTACGACGTGTGCGCCGATCGCATGCACTGGGAGTACAGGTCCTTCGGCAACTTCTGCTGCTCGAAGTGTGGAGGTGAAAACATCAACTCGGGTGCGCAGCGATGGCATGGTGGCGGACGTCGCAATGGTGCTCGTCCTGTTCCAGGGGCTGGCGGGCCTGGCGACGATGCTGACACTGCTCTTCGTGTTGCTGCCGCCTTATTGCTTGCCACCAAGCCCGACCTTCGAGAGGGTCTCGCTCAACTCGTGGACGAAACCCCTGCTACCGATGAGCCTGATTGGACCGCGGCCAATGTGCAGGATGCAGCCAACGCCGAGCGCACCCGCCTTACTCGCGTCGTGGAAGGAGCGGCGAAGGCGGTGCGCTTAGCCCTTCAAGGAGTACATCATCGTAGGACTAAGGTGCAAAAGCTGGAGGAGCAGCCGGTGGGAGCCAAGGAAAACCTGGCTGTGGACACCGCTGTGCACGAGAAAGCCACCAGGGACAAAGCTCAGGCCGACTCGGCCCCCCAGCAGTTCAACGAGGATGCCTTGGCCGAGCACAAGCGCATCCAGCAACGTGAGGCTCGCGCCGCAGCTGCGGATGCTGGTCGAGCCCCACCTGGGCAGCGAGAAGAACTGCCTGGCGAATCTGCCGGTGCTGGCGGGCAACCCATGTGGAGCGGACCGTCAAGTTCCTGGCGGTGGCCAGCGTGATCGAGATGCTCGGTTGGAGCCCGTGGGCGCCCCCAAACAAGTTCGCTGAAGAGCAGCGCCTGCCCCATGGGGCTCCTGCAACGGTTCCAGGCCATGTCCAGGGAGCTCGCCCTGGGCACGACGATTGACGTGGATGGTGATAGCGACGACGCTGGTAGCGACGCCGGCGATTTACCCCCCCAGGAAGCAGATGGGCTCAAGGCGCTCCGCTAGAGAGCCTGCGGCGAGGTTCTCGGCCCTGACGACCTCCTCGACATGGAGAACCTCGTGGTCATGAAGTCCGAGGTACGGCAGTCGAAATGCAGCAAGGCAGTCGCCGACTCTGCCTCCGCCGGTTTCGCCAGCCTCGCCCGCGCCACGGCGGCCCAGACGCCGATGTCTGAGATCTGGCACCGTGGAAGAGGGCAGCTCTTGCCTCGTTTGCAACATCACCCATCGAAGTGACTCTAGCTAGAAGCTTCCTGTCCGATCTACATGGTAAGGCTGACGCCTTTGCTTTTGCTAAGCACCACCAGCTCCCCCATTAGTTGAAGCAAGCCAAGAGAGAATGCACCACAATGAAGTGGCGGCCTCATTTTCTCCCCTCTCAGAGCACTTCTGGAGGAGGTGCTCTGAGCCAGTTTGGGAATTGCTGGTGGAAAGATCCGTAAGAAGCTAGCGAACAACACGATCGTCCAAGCCTTGGCGGTCGCGTGGGTCCTCATGGGGGACTGCAATCTCCATATGGAGCCCATGCCGCTATGCGGTTTCCTGAGGATGACTCGTGCTCGTGCCAATCCTCCTGCAGGCATTGCTTGCGCGTGCTCGCAGGGGAAGGGCACGATGATTGATTATGCCGTTGCTTCGGGGACCCTTGCGCCGTTCCCTAAGGGTCTCGAAGTGCGAGAGCTCGCCTTTCAAGACACATGCTCGTTTGAAGGTAGTGCTGCCACAGGAAGCTTTGCTCCAGGAGATGACCAGACGTCGCAAGCCCAGAGTCTGTCCCGCTGCTCAGGGACCAGACCTTCCATATATTCGTCATCTTGAAAGAGTTTCTCGGGAATGGTCCACGCCGATTCAAAATCCTGGAGTACGGCTCATTCCCCATGTCCAGGGGGCACCTATCCGCTGAGTGCGAACCCTGCCACTGGCGCCTTCGATTGAGCCCCCTACGGGGCCACGAAACGTGTGAGGGGTCTATCGAAATGAAGGCGGAACCTCATGCGAACCCTGCCACTGGGGTCTTCGGTGGAGCTCCCTCTGGGGCCAAGAAACGTGTGAGGGGTGCGCCGTAATTGGGGGTGGAACCGCATGCGAACCTTGCCACTAGGGCCTTCGGTGGAGCTCCCTAGAGGGCCACGAACCGTGTGAGGGGTGTGCCGAAATGCGGTTGAATCGCATGCGAACCCCGCCACTGGGGCCTTCGGCGGAACTCCCTATGGGCCACGAAGCGTGTGAGGGGTGTGCCGAAATATGGGTTGAACCGCATGCAAACCCTGCCACTGGGGCCTTCGGCGGACCTCCCGAAACGTGTGAGGGGTGTGCCGAAAGTGGGGGTGGAACCGCATGTGCCACTGGGCCCTTCGGTGGAGCTCCCCATGGGGCCACGAACCGTATGAGGGGTGTGCCAGAATTGGGGGTGGAGCCGCATGCGAACCCTGCCACTGGGGCCTTCGGTGGATCTCCCTATGGGGCCAAGAAGCGTGTGAAGGATGTGCCGAAATGAGGGTGGAACCGCATGCGAACCCTGCCACTGGAGCCTTCGGCGGAACTCCCTCTGGGGCCACGAAACGTGTGAGGGGTGCGCAGGCATGAAATCGGAACTGCATGCGAACCCTGCCACTGCGGCCTGAGAGGTGCGCCGAAATGAGAGCGGAACTGCATGCGAACCCTGCCACTGGGTCCTTCGGTGGGCCTCCCTATGGGGCCACGAGCCCTGTGAGGGGTGTGCCGAAATGAGGGTGGAACTGCATGCGAACCAACCTTCGGTGGAGCTCCCTATGGGGCCACGAACCGTGTAAGGGTGCACCGAACTGAGGGTGGAACTGCATGCGAACCCTGCTACTTGGTGCCTTCGGCGGAACTCCCGGTGGGCCACGAAACGTGTGAGGGGTGCGCCGAAATGGGGGTGGAGCTGCATGCGAACCCTGCCACTTGGGGCCTTCGGCGGACGTCCCTATGGGGCCACGAACCGTTCGAGGGGTGCACCGAACTGAGGGTGGAACTGCATGCAACCCCTGCCACTTGCGGCCTTCGGTAGAGCTCCCATATGGGGCCACGAGCCCTGTGAGGGGTGCGCCGAAATCAGTGTGGAAGTGCATGCGAACCCTGCGAACCCTGCCACTGGGGCCTTCGGTGGAACTCCCTTTGAGGCCACGAAACGTGTGAGGGGTTTGCCGACATGAGTGGCGATGATGGTGACGATAACGGCGATGCTGATGACGATGATGGTGATGATGACGATGGTGACGACGATGACGATGATGCTGATGATGCTGATGATATGATGATGACAAGATGGTGGTGGCGATGGTAACGATGGGATGATGGGTTGATGGTGGGAGGAGGTGGGAGGAGGAGGGAGGAATAAGGATGGAAGGAAGAGGAGGAGGAAGGAACGCGGGGCGCTGTCTCTTCAAAACGAAGACCCAACACCACAGGATGGTTGGAAATTACAAGAGCGTCACGGATTGAGGGTGGGCTGCTTTTTCAAAATGTGGCTCTCGCCTTAGCGCCGCGCGCACTCGTCTTAAACATATGCGGGAGTTCCACGAATTGGGGGTGGGCGGTTTTCAAAATGTGGCTCTCGCCCTAGCGCCGCGCTCATTCTTAGATCAAATGCAAGAGGTTCACGGGTTGCTTGAGGTTCCTTTCAAAATGTGACTCTCGCCTTAGCGCCGCGCTCATTTTTAGATCAAATGCAAGAATGCCACGGGTTGCTTGCGGTTCCTTTCAAACTGTGGCTCTCGGCATAACGCCACGCACACTCGCCTTAACCATTTGCAAGAGTGTCACGGGCTCCCACGGTCAACGTACCAGGAAATTCGTTTTGGAACGATTCAGGATTGTCAGAGCCCAACAGTTATGTTGATTTGCTGAGTTGAAGTCCCGATTCAGAATCGTCAAGACGAAACAATAAGGTTGGTTCGTGGCGATGGAGTCCCGAGAAAAGCGTTTTGGTATGCTTCAGGATCTTCAAACGGACGGCTTCCAACGGGGCAATTCCCGCGGTGAAAATGAACCCTTGTAGGAGCCTGTGACGACGGAGCGTGGAGCGAGAGTTTGTTCCAACATCGTTGGTGGGTCTTGGGTTTGCACTGATCCTCCTCCTCCTCCTCCTCACCCTCCTCCTCCTCCTCATCTTCCTCCTCCTCCTCCTCCTCCTCTCCTCTTCCTCCTCCTCCCCTCTTCCTCCCCCTCCTCCCCCTCCTCCTCTCCTCCTCCTCCTCCTCTCCTCCTCCTCCTCGTCCTCGTCCTGTTTTTCCTCCTCCTCCTCCTCCTCCCTTCCTCCTCCTCCTCCTCCTCCTCCTCCTGTTCCTCCTCCTGTTCCTCCTCCTGTTCCTCCTCCTCCTCCTCCTCGCCCTCCTCCTTGGGGCTCTGTCTGTGGGGACGGTGCGCGCGGCGTCCTTGCGCGAGCGCTTGTTGCTCTGCCCGCCCCCGCTGCGCTGGTTCTTCGCCGAGCGCCCGGCCAGGGGCCGCGGCTGCGGCGCGGAGGCGGAGGCGGCCTCGAAGCGCGGGCTGTAGTCGCCAGGGCCTCTCCGCCGCCCCTTCTCTTCCTTCTCCTGCTCCTGCTCCTCCTCCGGCTCCTCCTCCTCCGCATCCGCCTCCGCCTCCGCCTCCTTCTCCTCCTCCTTTTCCTGTTCCTGCTTCTGTTCCTCCTCCTCCTCCTCCTCCTCCTTCTCCGCCTCAGCATCATCAGCATCATCATCGTCATCATCAGCAGCATCATCAGCATCGTCTTCTTCTTCATCATCAGCAGCAGCATCGGCATCGGCGTCGGCATCGGCATCAGAATCGGCATCGGCATCAGCGTCAGCATCAAAATTAGCATCAGCATTAGCATTAGCATCAGCGTCAGCATCATCATCATCATCATCATCATCATCATCATCATCATCATCATCATCATCATCATCATCATCATCATCATCATCATCATCATCATCAGCATCCTTCTCCTCCTCCTACGCCTCCTCCTCCTGCTGCTGCCCCATCCTCCCTTCCAGAAGGCTGCCTGGACCAACGCCCGAATTCCGCTCGACTGGCTCCTCCTCCTCCTCCTCCTCCTCCTCCTGCTCCTCCTCCTCCTCCTCCTCCTCTTCCTCCTCCTCAACCTCCTCCTCCTCCTCCTCCTGCTCTTCCTCCTCCTCCTCCTCCTCCTCCTCCTTCTCACTACTCCTGCTGTTTCTCCTCCTCCTCCTCCTCCCGCCCTTCTGCTCCTCCTCCTGCTCTGCCTCACACTCTTCTGCTCCTCCTCCCCCTGCCCCTCCGCCCGCTGGCGTGGCGTCCCTACTGGATCTCGGGCCGTACCGAAATAGCGAACTTTCACACAGCTTGAGAATTCGCCCAAGCGACGGTGCCACACCTATCATGTCGTGCGTCCCACGAGTTATATGACCCCAGGGTGACAACACATGAGTGCGATCGCAAGCGCGCTCCATACGACTGGTTTCGGATCGAAGCTGGCGCGCACCATTCCACAGGCATTGCCTCATCATATGCCACAAGCGTGTAACAATATCCCTTACTAAGATTTTAAGTATGTGGCACGCCGGAGCAATCAATACAGAACAACACGTCGAACGAAACAGACCATGTCCGCGCCTCTTACACCTCTAGACAGCAAAAGCACAACGTATAGCACTGAAACAGGCACAGACGTCGATGCTCGAGCTTAGGATGTTATCTCTGTTGCACGCAACGGCCAACACGTCCCAAGCCATTAGAGCGCTTGTGTGTCGGAGTGAGTTGCTCATACGTCGCAAGATCGTGACTGGATCAAGGTGTTGAGTTTACTGCGCTGGGATGGCAAGTCTCTGGCGAGGGCGTATGGGCATTCGCATTGAAACGCTACGGGCTTCTTCTGGCTAACTCATGGTGCCACGGCTACGGTGAGGGTGCACAAAATCTCGCTCCAGGCATGACGGCCCATCGCATCCGGTTCAGACGTGCAAGATTGGACGATGAGAAAGGATGCGGGCGTGATGGCATCAAACTGTGACAGCGGTGCCATGTTGAATGCGTAAGGGTTCAGAGCCGGGGTGCCTGCGCAGGTGCTCACAACGGTGTCATTTCCAGACTGAAGGTTGAGGCTTACGCTACAGATAGCGGCCTCAATGTATCATCGGGCGCCGAAGCGTTACTTGTGCTCTCGCGGAGGCTCGTGGCTGAGCCTGTGGCCAGCTCACCTCGCCCAGAGCTTCGCCCGAACGGCGTGAGCACAAAACTCAAGACGCGAATCTCCCGAAAGCTGCTCCCACACCCCCAACCCAACTCGATGACCTCTCCTCCTCCCTATCCTCCTCCTGCTCAACCCCTCAGAGAAGCCCGCAAGCCCCCCCAGAACCTTGCGGGCTGTTCCGGTTGGGCGCAGGGATCGGGTCAGCCGCCTCCCTCTTGACCTGAGCAGGCGGAGGGGCGCGTGCTGTGACGGCGCTGAGCCAAAGGTTCCCGCATGTTCCGCTCAGGCCGCTGCGCTCCCGGTCCTCGACTCCTCAACCTGTGCGCTTCCTTCTCTCCCTCCACTTCCGGCTCCTCGTCCTTCTCTTTCGCCCCTCCTTGCTCCCACCATAATTCCTCATCGTCGCGTCTGGGCCCCCCACCCCCCGTACTGACTACCTACCAAGCCACCCAAACCCAACCCGAAGACCCAAATTTCATCCGAATTTCGGGTTGGGGGGGGGGGTATGGTCTTCATATGTGTTTTTTCCAATTTTCCCAGAGCCCCCCCCACTGGAAATGAAGGGCAAATTGAAACCTTTAGGTTGGGTTGGGATGGTTTGGTGGGTGGTGACGTACCTCCTCCCCGTCCTCCTCCACGCTCTCCTACCAAGTCTCTGCAGCCGGAACCCCTGAACGTGCTGTTGTTTCCTGCTCCCTCGCTCGCTCTCTCTCTCTCTCTCTCTATTTCTCTCTTTCTCTCTCTCTCTCTCTCTCTCTCTCTCCTTCTTTCTTTCTCTCTCTCTCTCTCTCTCTCTCTTTCTCTCTCTCTCTCTCTCTCTATATATATATATACACATATATATCTATTGCGCACATGCACAAACGTGTGTGTATGTATAATACTGCCCACCCCCGGCCCCGGGTCGCACACCTCCCCGCGACATCTCGGGGACGCTCCCAGTGCCGCTCCCCCGGCCTTTCTGGGGAACCTCCAACAGCGCCCCAGGAGGGCCCAAGACGCCTCCCAGGATCCCCCAGAATGCGAAAGGATGGTCCAAGACGCTACCAAGCAGCCCAAGTCAGCCTTCCGACGGCTCTCTAGGCTCCCAAGTGGCCTCCAAGAGACCCCAAGAGAGATCCGAGAGGCGTTCCCCGAAAGCCCTTAGAGCCCAACATCGTCGATTCATTGTTTTTAAGGTTTTCGGCTTCTCGCGCTTTCGAACTTCCCGTCGTCCAAGAGCGCCGAAAAGGCTCCCAAGACCGCCCCAAGACCACCCAAGAGACCTTCAGGACGGCCCCAAGACGGGCCAATAAGGCTCCAAGACTGCCGAAGGGGCGCCCAAGATAACCCCAGACCACCCCAGCACAGGCCCAAGATGGGCCCAAGAGCTGGAGCAGGAGGCTTCCAGAGACCTCCGAGAGGCCTCCAGGACCACCCAGAGGCCCCCAACACACCCCCGATCCCTGCGAGGCCCAAGAAAGACCCCGACGAGGCCCCAAGAACAGCCCAAGAGAGCTGCGAGCCGTCCCGAGAGAGCCCAAAGATGGTAAGGCATAATCGTTGATTTCCAATGTCTCTCAAATGTTTTCCGCCTTCTCACGTTGTCCCGCTTGCAACCCTCGAAGATCGAGGATGTCGTAGAAACCGGAAAAAATAATTCCAAGAATTCCCTCTCTTTTTTTCGAAATGGAACTCCTACACATCCCCTGACATCTGGCCGGTACCGCGCCTCCCGGCTTCCCGGGGAAACCCCAGGACGCACAAGGACAGCCCAAGACGACCTCAAGAAGCTCCCAGAACGCAAAGAACGGCCCAAGACGCTCCCAAGCAGTCCAAAAGACCCTGCGGATGGCTCTCCACGCTCCCAGGAGGCCTCCGACAAAAGGCCCCAAGAGAGGTCCGAGAGGTGTCCCGGGAAAGCCCGAAGAGGCCAGTATCGCCGATTTGAATTGTTTTTGGTCGATGTTTTTGGCCTTCTCGCGTTTTCGAACTTCCAGCGGTCCAAGACCGCCCCAAGACCGCCCAAAAGACTCCCAGGACGGGTCCAAGACAGGCCAAGAAACCTCCAAGATTGACGAAGAGGCGCCTGGTACCGCGCCCCCTGGCCTCCCGGGGAGCTCCCAAAACGCTCCAGGACGCCCCAAGACAGCCCCAAGAACCCCTCGCTCTCAAGGGACCACCCAGGGGCCCCCAACGCACCCCCGATCCCTGGGAGGCCCCAGAAAGACCCCGACGGGGCTCCAAGAACGGCCCAGGAGAGCTGCGAGAGCCGTCCCGAGAGAGCCCAAAGAGGCTGAAATCGTTGATTTCCAATGGTTTTCTTAGATGTGTTTCGTCTTCTCACGTTTTCCCGCTTCCAACCCTCGAAGATCGAGGAATTTGAAAAGAAAAAAGGCATTCCCAGACATCTGACCGGCACCGCGCCCCCCGGCTTCCCGCGGGGCCCCCTGAGACGCCCAAGGACAGCCCAAGACGATCCCGCGGAGCCCCAAGAACATCAAGAACGGCCCAACACGTCCCCACGCAGCCCGAGACACCCTTCGCAGCTTTCCAAGCGAGGCTTCCAGAACCCCCAAGGGGTCCAGAAGATCCCACACCACACCCCTGAAGGGCCCGGCTAACAAAACCCGCGAGGCACAAACAAAAAACAACGCCGAACAGCGCCGAGGAACTGGAAAAACATGGAAATCCCACAGTTCCGTTTTTTTCTCAAGTTTGGCCCCCGGTCTACTCTTGCACAAGAGACCCCCATTCAGACCCCCCCCCACCCCCCCACCCCCAAAAAAAGGAAGCCTCGAGGGCCCCCAATCGTTGAATACCTAAAAAGGAAATTCTGGATTTCTGTGTTTCCGCGCTTCCCCTTCTATAGTAGATTCCGAGGCTTGCGCGGGGCCTCCAAGGGAATCCCCGGGCGCAAGAAGCGACCAAACTGAGATTACACGAGTTAGCCGATCAAGCCAAGCTAGCCGTCCAGGGACTCCCTTGGAGGCCCTGCGCAAGCCTCGGAATCTCGCATAGAAGGGGGAATGCGGAAATACAGACATCACTCATTTCCTTTAGGTCTTCAACGATTTGGGGACCTCAAAGGCTTCCTTGGTTTTTTGGGGGGCGGCGAGGGGGGTCTGAATGGTGGTCTGTTGTGCAAGAATAGACAGGGGGCCAAACTTGAGAGAAAAAGGAATTGTGGGATTCCAGTGTTTTTTTGATTCCTCGGCGCTGTTCGGCGCTATTTTGTTTGTGCCTCGCGGGTTTTGTTAGCCGGGCCCCTCAAGGGTGTGGGATCTTCTGGACCCCCTGGGGGTTCTGGAGGCCTCCTGGAAACCTGGAGAGCCGTCGGAATTATTTTTAACATTTACACTCCATACCCTGGGCCACAGGGTCAGCGGGGGGCTAGGCCTGGACCTGACCAGACCTAAACCCCCCGTCCGTGCTGCGGACCACGTGGATCTTGAGGAGCTCCACTGGGGGGGCTACCGGGAGAACCACGAGGTAGGCCGAGCGCGATGCGCGCCCGCTCGCGGATGTCGAGCTTCCTGAACTCGCCGTCCGCCACCCACGACTCGGAGCCGAGCTGCACGAGCTCGAGGCGCCCCCGAGGGCCGCGCGCCACAGCGGCGGCCGCAGTGCCGCCAGCTCCCGGGGCCAGCGCCGTCGCCGCCGCAGCCGCCGCCGCCGCCGGGCCGCCCTGCCGCCGCCGCCTCCGAAGAGGGGCGTCGGCCCGGCTGTCGTCCAGCGACGCGGCGTCGTCGCCGCCCATCACGTCGTCGTCGGCGTCGGCCTCCGCCGCGCCCATGGGCGCAAGGCCCACGCACGGCAGCAGCTCCAGCTTCGCCAGCGACGCCCGCGGCGTCGGGGAGGGCGAGGGCAGCGCCAGGCACCGCGGCCACGCGACCCGCCGCAGCCAGGCGCGCCGCCGCCAGACGGCGCCTGCGGCGCCCCACCTTTGCAGCGGGAGCGGCGCCAGGCACCCGTCCTCGCCCACCATCTCCATCACCTCGCTCCTCGGCACCAGCCTGGGCCGCTCCAGCAGGCGGCGGGCGGGCGACGGCGGATGCCGCCGCTGCCGCGGCCGCGCGCGCGATGGCGCCAGCAGTGCACCTCGGAGCGCCAGCACTCAGCGCCGCGAGGACCGCCGCGTCCACCAGGACAGCAGCATCGGCGGCGGAAAGGGCTCCTCTAGCCCCTCGCACGTCGGCCATCTCGCGCGGACGGCGGCCGAGGCGAGGGGCAGGCGATCGATTAAGCCAAAATGGGAGAGCCGTCGGAAGGGTGTCTCGGGCTGCGCGGGGGCGTGTTGGGCCGTTCTTTACGTTGTCGGGGCTCCTTGGGGTCGTCTTGGGCTGTCCTTGTGCGTCTTGGGGGCCCCCCGGGAAGCCGGGAGGCGCGGTACCAGCCAGATGTCAGGGGATGTGTGGGATCTCCGAGTAGGAATCCCACTCTGAAAATTATCCCGGCAAAGCAACCTAACAGCGATGTGTAGAAGCATATCTGAAAGCATTCCCCTTAAGATTCAGATGAAAATCCAGTTGTAGAATTCTGCTGTTCTCGCAGTCGTAGTCGCATTCGCGATGACAGTCGCAGCGGCAACGGCAGTCGCAGTCACAGCCTCAGCCTCAGCCTGCCTCAGCCTCAGCCTCAGCCTGCCTCAGCCTCAGCCTGCCTCAGCCTCAGCCTCAGCCTGCTTCAGCCTCAGCCTCAGTCTGCCTTCAGCCTCGGCCTCAGCCTCAGCCTGCCTCAGCCTCAGCCTGCATCAGCCTCAGCCTCAGCCTCAGCCTGCCTCAGCATCAGCCTGCTTCAGCCTCAGCCTCAGCCTGCCTCAGCCTCAGCCTCAGTCTGCTTCAGCCTCAGCCTCAGTCTGCCTTCAGCCTCGGCCTCAGCCTCAGCCTGCCTCAGCCTCAGCCTGCCTCGGCCGCAGCATCAGCCTGCCTCAGCATTCAAAATGTGGCCCAGGAATGGAATTCTGGGAACTAGAAGAACACGAAGTGGCCTACAGTTGGCTCCGGGCATTCAAAATCATGCCCAGGAATGGAGTTCTGGGAACTCGAAGAGCACGAAGTGGCCTACAGTTGGCTCCGGGCATCCAAAATGTGGCCCGGGAATGGAGTTCTGGGAAATAGAAGAGCACGAAGTGGCCTACACTTGGCTCCGGGCATCCAAAATGTGGTCCGGGAATGGAGTTCTGGGAAGTCGAAGAGCACGAAGTGGCCTACAGTTGGCTCCGGGCATCCAAAATGTGGC